GATCATTGTTGCAATGAAAATACACAAGTGGATTCACAGTCAGTTACGACTCAGCAGTGTCCAGAGAATGTGACAGTTTGTAGTGGTTGCTGTGGCATCCAGTGCTGCTGGCTGCTGAAGTTAACTCCACTGGAAACCTGGCAACAGGAAAAAGATTTTGGTTAGGATCTCATTTAGCTGTAACACTGGAAATCTTATCAAAGTGTTTGATATAAAGCATCTTGTATTTGAAATGTAAATGTTCTTTAAACCACATAACAAAGATGTGAACATACCTGATAAGTTTGCTGCAGAGAGGACGGCTGGGCCACACTCATCATGTTAGAGCTTGATTCCTGTGGACTGCAGCTGGCTGTTGGCTGACCCAGGAACTGGCAGAGAGTTTGTGGCTGCTCAATGAAGCCCGGGGATCTCCTCTGCTCCAGCACCTCCTCACTGAGGCCCAGCTGAGCTGACAGGTAGGAGATGTATCGGATGGTGAGGCGCAGTGTGTCGATCTTGGTCAGGGTCTGTCCTGCAGGCGCCACTGAGGGCGGGAGGTACGTCCTGACGTGATTGAGAGCCTTGGTCAGATCCCTCATCCTCAGCTTCTCCCTCTCGCTGGCGGTCTGGCGCTTTTTCCCTGGATATCTGGACCTTGACTTCTTTGTGGCGGAGGTGGCTGTGGAGGATCTGGCGTAGGGCATAGCCTGGGTCTTGTGGGTAGGCTGAGGTGCTTCAACTTCGCTGAAGATAAAGCGGTCCAAGGCATCTTGTTCGCTTCCTGCAGACAGGATGGAGCTGGGGGAGAAGCAAAAGGAGTCCACAGACGAGGTGGGAGACAGACTGCTGCCTGCGCTGAAGTAGCCAGGGTCTGAGGCTGGATCATAGGCCACAGGATCATAAGTTTTCTCCAGCAGGGACTCGCAGTCAAACAGGAAAGAGTTCTCCTGGAGCTGGAGAGGAGAGCAGAAGGACATGTCCATGGCTGCTGTAGTAGTTTCAGTTGAGGTCGATGCTGTGGTTGAAGGCTCTTCCCTGAGCAGTGAGCTGTCAGTGTGTGGCTGGTGAGGCAGTCAGAGGATAGTGAGGAGGTACAGGGAGGCTGCTCCATATATGTGGTGGGAGGTGTGAGGTTGCACCTCTGGCAGCTTCCTCTGCTCCTGAGAGGCTCTGGGAGCAGGGCTGACACCTAGGCCAGGGGTCCCATGGGAAACAGGCCAGCTCCAGGACAAAGTGTGACCCGGCAGCTCGCACGAGTATCATAAAGTCGATAGATTCACACCATGCGCTGCTGTGGCCTGGGAACACGACCCTGCCATGACAGAGCTTCCACCTGGGTCACAGGTCTGTCTCTGAACCTGAGGGATCGGAATCTAGGGATTTACTGGATGTGATTGGAAGCTGCTAATTTATCTGTAACCAAGACATGTCCAATAATATCCCGACACAATCACTGCCAGACACACAGATGCCACAATATTGGATCATTCGCTCCAATGAAAAAAGAAGAACCACAACTTCCATAATCAATCATGTGTCCTATCAACCACCACTATCATCCATATATAGACATTGTTTAGTGTGACCCTGAACATAATTCATCAGTTTGAATCCTGCTCTTTCTGCTCTGGTATCTGAATCCCTGCGTGGTCAGGCTGGATAAGTGTGCCGGGGCAGCTGGGAGGTGTGAGGAGTTTACACCTCGTCCTGTTTGGACAGGAGCAGGCCTCACTGCTCTGGGAACCTGGATCCTCATAGAGAAAGAATGTGCAGCATCAATAACAACGACCAGCGTCATATATATTAGTTACCGGGCGTAAGTGTGCCTCTCAGAGCCAGTTCCACTTTCAGTGGTAGAAGGATCATTCAGAATCTCTGAAACCTTTATCATCACTTGGTTTTTCCACAGTAGTGTTTTAAAAAGGAACAAAGGTTGATACAAGTAAACTTTCTATGCATGTCATCTCAAATTAAAGGGAAAACATTGATAAATAATCTGTATCAGTTCGTATTCGTATTTCATTTGAAACTAATTTGCACATTTTGCTATATTAATGTTTTTAATGTATTTAATGTTGACTGTATGGTCACCATGTATGGTATCCATTTCACAGATACATTAGTGCATCAGTCCAGGCCCTCTCAGTCATTTCAATTTATTTTGAATGTCGATACTTTATCACTGGATTCTCTCTGACAAGTCTGTAGATTAGAACGTCAGGTGTGGACTGTGGATGTGAGTCCTGAGCCGTGTTCCCACAAACCACCGCGTCACATTTGACTCCTGGTGAAACCCATAATTGGGATGTGTGAATCGGTCTCACACAGCTCTCCCCCAACTCTCCCCCAACTCACTTATGCAACAAAAACAGAAAGAAAAGAATAATGAAAGATGTCAGTATCATTAAAACCATCTCCAAGGCAAAAAATTAAGTTTGGCTAAGGATAAGATCTGTTGAACTTCTGGTACAAATGATTTGAAGCAGTTTTTAAGTTTTTTTTATTTTTACAGAGCTGGAAAGTGTGTGAGGTGACACCAGACGTGACAGCTGACCTGAGGACTAGTTCTCACAGCGACTTTTGAACCCCCACAATCTTTTTGTGGAATGACATTAGATGAATCCCTGAAAAACATATATATTTCTGTCATTCCCACTATTACTCTATGTTTTGTTACATGTACTGTAAATCTATTTACCCTGTAAATACAGGCTGCTTTAATATAAATGTTAGTAAGATTTAATTTATAATCTAATAAAAGATTGAATTATTTAACTTAGTACAGCTAATTCTAGCCTATAGTTAGTTAAACTTAAGCTTGTGCAGATGGCATCCTTCTGGTTTTAGGCACAAAAAACCCATGAGATTTACTATATTCATCATTTTATTTCCTTCTTCTTTAATTCTAATTCTGTAATAATCTACAGACTGCTATCAGTTAATTATTTCAGCATTATGAATTTCCCCAGCTGTCAACTGTCTTCCTCCCTCCCAGGCTGATGATGGAGGGGATCTTCCTTCTCTTAATCCACATTAGCTCTGATGGTGTTTACTCACATGTAATGAGTGAATAATCAGCACCGCTGTGCTAACCCTTTCATCCCAAACCCCTTTAGCCCGGGAAGTTTATTAGCTCTACACTGATGAAAGACCTGAGTGAGTATATTAAGGCTTTGTGTTGGGTTTGCTGCTTGCATATCAAATGAACTGCATGTATGTGGCAAACTAAACACTCGGCTCTAATTCTCCAGCCTGATATGCAGATCCACACTTCTCTATGAATATTAAAGCACTCTCCGTTGGCTTTAGAGGGTTATTAAGGCCAGAGGTGAGAGCAAGGGGGGAAAGCGTAGGAAGGATCTTACATCTTAGTCTAGACTCAGCGGTGCCAGGGACCTCTCTGTGTTTGCTGAACCACATTAACAGAGATACACTAAATAAACTAGATAACCTGTGGCAGAGGCTGGTCGCAGGTCTGCTCACCTTGAGATACTCACATGTCAAAGACTTCAGACCACGAGAGGAGACTACTTAAACTGCTCTATACTGTATGTCTGACTTATCCCTCTGATTTGATCTAGTGTTTGAGGTAATTATATCATGTACAGTTCGTCATTGGTAGTCGTAATTATGAATATGATAATAATAAACTTAATCTACAGCAGTTTTAACAAAGTGCTTCACAGACAATAGAAAATACATTCAGTGCAATTACAAATTCATCAACAAGTTAATGAAAGATAATGGATAAAATGAAGCGATAAAACAAACCATACTTGAAAGATACATTTAATTTCCGATTTAATCATAATTATGTATATTGCTTCTCTGTATATCGTTTTCTGTAGTTGTGACACTTGTATTAATTGTATAATTTCCTGTATAATAATATAATATAATATTTAGTATGATGTCTTATGGAATTCACCCTCTTCAATGAAATATGTTCTTGTCAATTTAAGTTTGTTAAGTTCATCACATACACATACATTAACTGTTTTATGGTTTCTATGAGCATTATGATGGAAACCTTAGTTCAAGGGGTGTTCACCTCTGTCTGACAGCTTTAGTGACATGCAGTTTGTGGTGCAGTAATTCAGTGGTGAACTGAATCGTCGATAGAAACTATAAAATCAAGAAATAACTGAAAATCATTATTCCCTGTAATTTAGAATCTTTCCATAGTTGTGTTGTGTCATAACATAATATATTGTATTATATCTTGTACCACCTACCTATCAGTACCTTGGCAAGTAAAACATAGCTAAGAAGACGTGACTGTGAGACCTGCCAGTTTGTTTTAATTGTGTTCATCGCCGTGAGACACAGATGTTTTCATCCAGATTAGAAGCCACTGTTGACTGTGTCTGGTGTCTCTGGTGTCTCTGACATTATCCATAAGCACCAGTTTCATCCTGTCTCATGTAATTACTGTACGTATGATTGTGTAAGTAAACACAATCTCACCGGATTAGAACCAGTAACCTTTCTTTAACAAGTCCCTTATTCCCAACTATTAACTATTAACACAGTTCCCAGTGAAGCTGATGTACACACATAATGAACACCTGCATGAATAATCAATGAGAGAAACTGAAATGCATGATGGGAAGTAATGATGACAAAACATGGTGACATTTGAATATTTTATTATAAATAGTGGTATAAAGAAATATAAAAAATAGTTGTTAGACATATGAATATTTACAAGGAACATTTCATAGGACACAAATAAATAAAATGTAGAATAGCATTTAAATTTCAAATAAATTACTTGATTCACAGTGAGGCAGTAAAAAACAGTGAAGTAGTCTGTGTCTGTTGTTGGATGATGATCATACAGTGTTGGAGAGTTTA